GTTCAACTCCCTTGTATTTTTTTATTACAAATTAATTTTTGTAATTTGTCTCCATATTTTGTGCTAATCAAATACACAAAATTTGTGTCGACAAATTTCTGGCACGCTTGGTGGGACGCTCTCTTCCTCTCATCTTTCGAGTCAACAACTACAACAGTCATACAATGGCTACCAAGAGGGTTGCAACTTCCTTCTACAAATCCTTTGACGCTTTTAGTTCTTCTTACAACCGTCCTGTCACATGTGCCACGGTGAAATCCATTGATAGTTGGGACCAACTTAAGAGAGAATTCCTCACTCGCTTCTACTGTACACGTCGAACGGTTGGACTTCCAAAACTCTCCACTACAAGGCAAAGAAAGGATGAGTTTGTCATCAACTACATCGAGCGGTGGAGAAACCTCACCCTTCAGTGCAAGGAACAAACTAGTCAATCTTATGCTATAGACACATGCGTCTAATAGATGCATTGGGGACTACTCTATAGCCTCAAAGAGATCATGCCTACCACCTTCGAAGAGTTAGCTACTCGAGCTCGTGACTTGGAGATCCAGAGAGCCAAGCATGGGAATCCCCAAGTAAGTGATCATCGTGAAAAGAAAGAAGGAAAGAAGGAAGTCAAGAAAGACCTTAAGACCTCCTCCTCCTCCAAAGGAAAAGATGTCATGAATACTACTACTAGACTAGTTAAGATCTCATACAAGAAGAAGAAGATGGAGATCAAAGTGAAATCTTTTGCAAACCAAGGCCAAGAGAAGTCTAGCCCTACTCTGAAGGAACTAGAAGAGAAGGGGTATCCATTCCCCTGACTCTGACATTCTAAAAATGCTTAGCCAGCTTCTCCAATCAAAGTTGATTGAGCTTCCATTGCCCAAGCGACCTAAAGAGCAAGGACGTGTGGTCAACCCCAAGTACCACCAGTACCATCGAATGATAAGTCATTATCCAACTTAAAAGTGTTTTGTCCTGAAGGACAAAATACTTCATCTCGCAGAACAAGGAAAGATCGAGTTAAATCTTGGTGACAATTTTGCTACTACTAACGTCACCATGGTGACTTTTGGGTCTTTTGACCCAGTACCATTGCAACCCTCTACATGTCTTTCCTCTACTCAAGCTACAATGGACGTCCAGACCTTAAGGAACTCTACACCCACAAAAAGGAAGTCAACACCACAACACAACTTAGTGGATTCTCCTCAAATTGTGAAGACCAGGGGCATGGTAGCTGGACCCCAACAATGGCTTTTCCTACAACATCCCTCACAAAGGGGGCAATTCTTGTCCATTTTATTGTTGATAAGGTGACCACGGTTTATGCTTATCCTGACATGCCAAGGTTCAGGAATCCCAATGTCCCAACTCTCTATGAGCTGATGATTGATGACCTGGACTACTGGGAATAGTCGTTTGTTTCAGAAGATGAGATAGAATATGGGTGGTCCACTTTCACCAACAAGAAACCCAAAGAGTAGGTATGACACCAACCCAAAGGAATCATTTCGAATGGGGGCAAGACTATCTTCGTCTAATCTATTGACTCAGAAGCATCTCCTTAAGATGAGAACATATGAACTATAGTCTCTCGGTGTAAGAACAAAGCTCATCGTCCTGTCCTCCCTATGTTAACCAGACCAAAGCGGATTAGAAGAAGGCGAGTATACAACGCCTCCAAGAAGAAGAAAGTGCCAAAGAAGAAAGCACCTCAGGTACCCCCAGCTAGTGAGGAGGAAGTGCTTCAACAACCTCATCCAACTCTAGTAACCCTTTGGGAGTTCATGCCTAGAGAACTTTTCCCAGAGGAGTGTGTAGTAGCATACATGGTGATAGTTGACAAAGAGGAAACATCACCATCAATAGAAGAAACTTCACCCGATGAAAACAAAGATATGACAAGGCTTCTTCAAGAGCACCCCATGTGCGATGAAAAAGTAACAAAGGAACTGAAGGAAGTGCCATCCCATTTGAGCCTTACCCAATTACTAGAACTACTGCAGAAGGTTTGTTTTGCAATGGCGAAGACCCTGATTCTCCCTAACAAGTATCAAAGAAAAGTACCAAAAGGGGACGACTGCACAAATTGCATGGCAACAATTACCTTCACAGATGACGATTTACAACTTGGGTCACATCCACACTACAGACCCTTGTATGTTGCTGAATATGTTCGTGAACAATAGATGTCATGCATCCTCATTGATTGTGGATCTATCATCAACATTATACCAGTCTCCACTATGAAACAACTTGGGATTGACAAGGATATGGACATCGTGCAAATAGGAAATTGACATAAAGAGCAAGTTGACAATCTAAGGCTTTAATCAAAAGGGACAACGTGTTGTGGACATAGTGCGTCTTGAGATAGAAATAGGGGACTTGACATCTTTAGCCCTTCTACATGTCATCAATGCCAAGACATCCTACCAACTACTTTTGGGACGTCATTGGTTGCATGAGACAAGGGGTTCCTTCAATATGGCACCTATGCTTCAAATACTACCGTAATGGAACACAGAGGTAAGTAGTCGATGAGCTAGAGCCTTTCAACAAAGCTGAAGCACATTTTGCTGATGCAAAGTTTTATGCTGACAAGGTCATCTTAGAAGCTCTTCCGATCTTTGTGCCAAAACCTTCCATAATGAAGGTTTGGAAGGAGAAGGAAGACACGATGCATGAAGAAGAGGATGCATCTTTAAGTGGTGACAAGAAGCCTCTACAAAAGCAACATGTATCTGCTACCTTGCCAACAACTCCACCATTGACTTCCTCTCTTTGTAACCAATCATCCCCCGTGCTTCGTTACACCCTAAAGTCAAGGAGACGGGAAGGACAACTACCTTTTGAGGTCATGTATGCACTAAGCACTACACCAATATCAAGGAGTGACATTGAAGTTCTTGAGAAGGATCTTGTGCCTCCAATCTCCACAGCAATCGAAGTTAGTGGTTTCTGAACCTCCACTAAAGGAATTTGTTAGAGCTTCATCAACCAGCAAAGTAGGGCAACATCAAGGAGGGTGGTTTGACCTCAACACTGAGAAGCTCCTCGAGAAGGTAGGGTACAAAGAAAGTGAAAATTGTCAGTTAGAGGACCTTGAGCCAATCCTTACAAGTGGACAAGCCTATGGCTTAACAAAGACGTAAAGAGCTTTACAAAGTGGAGGCTCCCACATCCCTTAGAAAAATGTTTTCTTATGATACCATTGGACTCCACCAGCTCAAATTTAATGAAGGAAAGCGTCATCCAACCACATCACTATAGAAGTGGTGGACAGGAAAGAAAAGAAGCATATACAACAGAGTTCAGTCTTCGACCGGCTAGGAGAATCGAGAGAAAGACAATCAGTGTTCGACAAGGCTTGGAGGACAAGATGTTGCTCCAACGTCATCTAGTCAACCACAAGGGACCTCAGTACTCTTCCGCATAGGGCTCAAGGGTGCCAATATGAAGAAAAAGGGTTGACAACAAAGTCAAAGCCTACAATGTGCCATTGCTACAAAGGAGAAGTCAGAGCCTCGAAGTGTTATTCCTTCTTGGATGAAGAGGGTGCCCAACTTGGAAGTTTCCTCTAATGAGACCTTAACAGTTAGACAACAGACTATTGTCATCACGTCTCCATCATCTTCTCAATCAAATTCCAATCTTCAACCAAGACAAAGCATGAAAGAACAAAGTGAATGGATAATTGAGGATGGAGACATTGTCTCAGTTAATCACATCACCATCGAGGAGGATGATGAAGATTTGTCAAACACTTCTTCAGATGAAGAACTTGAGCCTGCCCCACCTACCTTTGAAGAAGGAGGCCAAGCAATAGTGGATAACCTGAAGGAGTTGAACCTTGGCACTGAAGAGGAACCTAGACCTATCTACATCAGTGCACTCCTTAGTCTTGAAGAAGAAGCTAAATACTTCAAACTACTTCAGGAGCACAAGGATGCTTTTTCTTGGATATACAAGGAAATGCCTAGGTTAAACCCAAATGTTGTTGTCAACCACCTCTCTATTAGACACGGGGTACGACCAATCAAGCAAGCACAACGTCAATTCTGGCCCGAGTTGATTCCGCAAATTGAAGCAAAAATCAACAAGCTCATTGAAGTTGGTTTCATTTAGGAAGTGAAGTATCCAACTTGGATTGCAAACAATGTCCCTGTGAGGAAGAAGAATGGTCAAATTAAGGTCTGTGTTGACTTTCGAGACCTAAATCAAGCTTGCCCAAAAGATGACTTTCCTTTGCTTATCACTAAATTCATGGTAGATGGAACTACAGGCCACGAGGCATTATCCTTCATGGATGGTTCATCTGGATACAATTAAATTCGCATGGCGCCTAAGGATGAAGAACTCATGGCCTTTCGAACACCAAAGGGGATCTACTGTTACAAAGTGATGCCTTTTGGCTTTAAGAATGCCGGTGCCACGTACCAACGTGTGATGCAACGAATCTTCGTTGACATTCTTCACAAGAAGTTCGAGTGCTACGTCGATGACTTAGTTGTCAAGTCTAAGAAGAGAGAAGACCATCTTGATGATTTGCATAACATCTTCAATAGGCTAAGGAGACATCAACTAAAGATGAACCCTCTCAAATGTGCATTTGGAGTCACCTCAGGCAAATTCTTCAGTTTCATTGTTTGCCATCGAGGGATTGAAATTGATCAATCAAAGATTGACGCCATCCAAAACATGCCAGAACCGCGAAACCAAGGACGACTAACTTACATTCGACGGTTCATCTCCAACCTAGCAAGACATTATCAACCATTCAACAAGCTGATGAAAAAGGATGTCCCATTTGAGTGGGATGAGGCTTGCAAAATGCCTTAGAGAGTATAAAGCAATACCTTCTCAAACCCCTAGTACTTGTCGTACAAATTCCTAAGAAGCCGCTCATCCTATACATCGTTGCGCAAGAGTAGTCATTGGGAAACTTGTTGGCACAAGTCAATGAGGAAGGGAAATAGAATGCACTCTACTACCTCAGTCGGACACTAATGGGAGCCGAGTTCAACTATTCACCCATAGAGAAGACTTGTCTTACTCTCATCTCTGCCAGGAAGAACTTACGACATTACATGTTGGCACATACTGTCCACCTCATCTCAAGGGTAGACCCCCTCAAGTACATAATCACACGACCTGTACTTTCAAGGAGACTGGCTAAATGGGCTCTCCTCTTGTTAGAATTTGATATCATCTACGTCCCACAGAAGGCCGTGAAAGGACATGCACTAGCAGACTTTCTTGCAGATCACCCTATTCCAGTAGATTGGGAACTCTCTGAAGACCTTCCTGATGAAGATGTTTTCTACATAAACATCTTACCAGCATGGATGATGTTTTTCGATGGAACAACACGCAAAGATGGCACGGGTGCTAGTTTTGTATTTGTCTCGCCACAAAGAGAAATCCTCACATACTCATTTGTCTTAACTGAGCTTTGCTCTAACAACATGGCAGAGTATCAAGCTTTAATCATTGGCTTAGAAATGACCATTGACTTGGAAATTCACTTCCTCACAGTATATGGGGATTTGAAGTTGGTAATCAACCAATTGAAGACAAAGTATGAGGTGCACAAGGACGACCTAGTTCCCTATCACCATTATGCAATCCAATTGCTAATGGAGTTGAAGCATGCTACCATTGAACATGTACCCAGAAGTGAAAACGAGCAAGCAGATGCCCTTGCTAATCTAGCGTCAGTCTTAGCACTCACGGGTGATGAAGCAACAACAATACCCGTTTGTGCAAAATGGGTTATTCCCCCTAAGCCTTCTCAAGAAGAGACAGAACATGAAAGTAATGTGGTTTTTGTATTTACTATGGAGGTTGAGGACTGGAGGCGACCATTCATTGACTACTTGCAGCATGGGAAGTTGCCTAAAGATCCCAAGTGTAGAGCTGAGATACGGCGTTGAGCACTCCGTTTCCTATACTACAATAACAACCTTTGCAAATGCTCCTTCAATGATGCCTACATGAAGTGTGTCCACAGAGACGAAATCCAAAGCGCACTAGACCAAGCACACTGTGGAGTTTGTGGTGCTCATCAATCAGGACCTAAGCTCCATGATCGCCTTAAGTGGATGGGCTTCTATTGGCCAACAATGGTACAAGATTCAATTGAATATGCTAAAAGATGTTAGACATGTCAATTCCATGGGGATTTTATTCGCCAACCACCAGAATCTCTACATCCTACATTTGCATCGTGGCCATTTGATGCATGGGGACTTGATATGGTTGGTCCTTTGCCTAAATCTTCTCGTCAACACCTATTCATCCTAGCAGCAGCGGATTACTTTTCCAAATAGGCTGAAGTGATTCCTCTTCGAGAAGTAAATAAAGAAGATGTTGACAACTTCCTCCGGGCTCACATTGTCTACCGCTACGGTGTTCCACGTTACATAATCACAGATAATGAGAAACCATTCTCAATAGCATTGGTGACACAATTTTATGACAAGTTTGGCATTAAGCAGAGGTTTTCAACCATGTACAATACAATGACTAATGGACTTGCATAGGCTTTTAACAAAACTCTTTGTAAATTACTTGAGAAGATTGTGTCCAAGTCCAAGAGAGATTGGCATGAACGCTTGTATGAGGCCTTATGAGCATATTAGACATCTTATTGCACTGCTACAAATGCAACTCCTTTTGTTTTAGTATGTAGTGTAGAAGTTGTATTCCCCCTAGAAAGACAAATGAGCTCCTTAAGGATGGTTGGGCCTCACGTAGTGGAAGAAATATACACTAATGATTCTTATCTCCTTGTCACGCTAAAGGGTCTACGTCTTGAGCCTATCAATGGAAAATACCTTAAAAGGTACTACCCCTAGTTTTTTCATTGTAACACTCTTGGCCCGCATGTGCCTAAATTGTGAATGGAAAAAAAGTCTTTTGCATTGTAACGCTTCTGGTCCGCATGAGCTTAAATTGTGAACGACAAAAAAAAGTCTTTTTGCATTGTAATGCTCCTGGCCTGCATGAGCCTAAACTATGAATGGCAAAAAAAAAAAAGAAAGTCTTTTTGCATTGTAATGCTCTTGACCCATATGAGCCTAAACTGTGAACGACGAAACAAAAGTCAAATATGAGAATTTCTCTCTTAGAAGAGAAAGAAAGAAACATCAAGTTCATTTCCAACATCATGTAACTACAATGTAGATGTTGTTTCATTTACAAGAGAAAGACTACTTGGAGTTTTACATAATTAAATATACTTCTACAAAGAGCAATGGATGCTTCTACAAGTTGTGTTGTCATGTAACATTGACTTGCACCTCTTGCTTATTGGTTTCCTTCAATTGTTTCAACTCGCCATGCTAAGCTTTTCTACTACAAGTGCTTCACTATCTTCCTACTACTTCTTGCTAGAGTATTGTCTTTGAAGGTTAAGGAAAAGTGTTGTTCCACCTGCTTTTTATTGTTCCTCTATTCCATATCGTTCCTCCTTAAAGGTACAAGACATTACATCAATGTGGTTTTTCTTGTTGTTAGCAAAAGTCATGTCAATTGTGATTTGAATCTTTTTGTTGCCGGAAAAAGACTTGTTCAATTCATAAGTATCACTTCAATAACTAGATCTGCTAATTTTTGCCTCATTCTGTTTCTTAGTTGGAGCATGTTTAACTCTATCTCTATAAATAAGGTACTCTTTTCCACATGATGACGAGGAACCAACCTCTTGGACAAACAACAACATGTCAAGATGTTAGACCTCATCAAGAACCTTGTCACCATGGACAATTTGGTCATAGACATCCATTCATGTGGGTAAAGATCTTTACAACAAGCTTTCTTAGAAGGGATATGAAAAGTCATCTCCTTTCCATGTTAAAGGAATGCACTCATCCCATATGATCTCATAGAAGTCAAACAAACTCTCTAGAAGTAACATAGGACTCAAGCACTGCTTGATCTACGATAGCTCCTCTTGGTTGGAGAGATTCAAAGGGCTCTTCCTATTCAGTTCTATGTTGACAACAAGAACTTATCAAAAGTTCATCAGTTACAAGCATAAGTGTGTTAAGAGTTCTGCAAGGAAAGTAGAGAGATCACCCATTCAAAGTTGGGTATTCAAGCTTTGCAATCTTCTTTCTTGAGGCAAGTTCTTTGTTGGAGGATGCATCAAAGATGGCGATGAAACTTCCTGACCAAATGATCTAGAAGAAGACATCACCTATATAAGCAAAAGAGAAGTATTAATACATTAAAAAATAAAAGTACATTACCTTGAAGAAGAGAAAGCTTCGTGCATCAAGTCCTCTAGGAAAGAAGCTCTTTACAAGCTAATCCCTAGATCAAAGAGACCTTAGACTTGAAGGTCTATGAAGCTCTAGACCCAGGGAGCCCAAACCATTGAAAGTCTGTAAGGGCATGTTGTTGATGAAACTCTACATGTTGGGATCTCTAGTGAAGAAAGAAGCTCTGTGCATCATGTTCTCTGGTGAAGAGGCTCTCCACAAGCTAATCCCTAAACCCAAGAGACCTCAGACATGAAAGTTTACAAAGTTATGGGCATAGGGACCCCAAACCATTGAAGATCTGTGAGGGCTTACTATTGATGAAGCTGTTGTGACTCTTTGGTGAAGAAACTCTGTGTAGGATAATCCCTAAATCCAAGAGATCTCAGACCCGAAAGTCTACGAAGCTTTGGACCTAGGGACCCCGGACCATTGAAGGCCTATGAGGGCCTGTTGCTAATGAAGCTCTGCATGATGTGACTCTTTGGTGAAGAAGCTCTGTGCAAGCTAATCCCTAAATCCAAGAAACCTTGGATCCGAAAGTCTATGAAGCTCTGGACCTAGGGACCCCGAACCATTAAAGGTCTGTGATGGCCTGCTGCTAATGAAGCCATACAAATGTGCCAAGTGGTGAAGCCCTAGCTCAGTATGATCCATAGAAGCAAATGTTGTCTCTATAATAAAGAAAGGAGGTGCAACATTAGTTGCAATATTCATGTGGATGAATTTCAAACAATAGATGATTGTAGCGCTGCAACTAGCAAAAAAAAAAAAAAGCAAAAGAGAGGAAAATACATTAAATCAAAGAGATCTTTGCAGTGAATTGGATCCCTCCAAAAACTCATATACGTTTTAGCGCACGGGCTTAAGAAAATCAGCTCTCTCTTGCACTCATGCTGCATGTTGACCTTGATTACATTGTCAAATACAACACCAATTCAGATGTTAAAGTAACTATAAACCCTATCCCTTTCAGGAGAGGCTAAGAAGAGCACGGAGAGCAAAGGCCCTTGTTCCACGGATTGCTAAACAGAGGCGATTCAGGCCATGCTGTTTCTAACCGATGGGGTATCATGCAAAGGCGAGTTCAAGATTTTGCCAAATCTGTAGGTGCTCATCCTACTGTTTCGTTAGCTTACATGTCAATGAGGGCTGCATAACCTCTCCTCAAACTTCACCTACAATTGTGAGTTGGTGACTAAGTCGGTCAATGATGAAGCAATGAGGGAATTGGGGATAATGAATTCATCATTAAGTGGTTTTTATCAGTAAAATGCATACATGGAATGAAAAAGAATGAGGATGGGCTATTATCTACGTGTGAGACTGATGTTTATGTCAATTACAGCACATAGATTCAAAGGGGGACTTGGATGGCGTTGCTCATTTACATTGGACAAGGGTCCCAACACTTGAAAAAAAAAAAAAAAATTTACATACATACATGAAATGACCGGAGGAGAAGAAATCCACACCCTGTTCAAGGGTCCTTTCTGTTGGTGTGTATTTATTATACGAAGATCAACTATATGATGGGCTACAGTCCACAAAGTGTATGAGCAGTAAATTAAGGGTGCAGAAGTCGTTCTTGAAAAAGTGAAGCGGCCTATTTGGATTAGTTATTACCTGGTGTATTGATGGTGGCTTGTAGAGGACTCGATAATGATCATTTAGGGAATGATGGGCGTCTGCATCCAAGACAATGCGTTAGCAATGGAAAGGAATCAAAGGGTCATCTCATGGCAGATTTATAGAAACTAAATTAAAAGGGGTTGTATGTGTTAGATTCCTTCGAGAATAAGTCTATTCACCTGCAACCAACAAGAGTTCTAATTTGTTAAGAACTCAACCTTCTTACTTACTTCGATGACTTCTTCTGAAGCAGCTCCAAATCCAAATGCCTGGACAATCGCAATAGGATATATACAATGTTGCTAACGGTCTTGCAATCTCCTTGACCAGAAAGTAATTACCATCAGCTCCCACTGTAAGATCTGAAATTTAATTCAAAGTGTCCCACCTCTCTGCAGTGAATACAAGGCAACAATGTTCAATGTTTAGTCTTGCATACAAGGGAGACATGGTTTCTGCAAATTTAATTTCAAATATTAGTTCAATTTTATATTCCTACTATTTATGCAACTGTACGTGTTTGGTGAAAGCATTCATCAAAAGACAAAGCAATGTCTACACCAAGTAATTATCAAATACACGCAAGTGTTTAACCAAAATTATCTTGTATACTGTCAATAAAATTTACACATAAAATATAATAAAAATTACAAAAGAAAAGCCAAGAAATGTTTATATATTATTAACTATATAATTGGTTCGTTACATGACTTACATCTAGAATTGGTCCTGACCCAATTATTGGTAGGGACGAAAATCAAGTAAGCCAAACCGATATAACCGGTTTGGTCAGCTTGGATCTATCGGAATAGACCCGACCCACTGACAACCCTACAGGGACACAGCGTCGAAAATGACTAGACAGCTTCTTTTATATTACTACCGCTGTCACACCCACTTGATCTCTGCTTTGCTTCTTTCACTAAAGCTTTCACCACTTCATCAAACCGGCGTCGGAAGGTTGGCAGCCTTGAGAGTTTCAAACAAAAGCCTTGCAGCCTGATTTAGAGGGAAAATAAAGTATAAAGTTAAATTCGACTATATATATCAAAAACCAAGAAAGATAAACTCTGGTACCTTCTACTTATCTCCTCCAACTCAGCTTCTCTAATCTTTTCCTCTGGATCTGGAGGAAATCCACCATTCTCCCAAGCTGCTAATCTTTGCATATCACCACAGTAGAGAGTCAATTTCTGCAGATACAACTCTTCAGTCTCCCGTAAATTTAGTTTCTTAATCTGCTCTTTCATAAGAGACATTGGCTCAAAGAACCAGTCAAAAACCCTGCCCTCAGGCCTATTTATATTTGTAAGTTCAACATTATTACCTGAAATAACATGAAACGAAAAAGCTATAAAGTTATAATCAATTACAAGTAATCAATACCCACCAATACAAAGAGAAAATTAAATATGATATCACTGGGGGAGGGGTGGGTTTCCCTGCTCACATTTATCCACCAAACCTGATTGACTGAATCCTTATTTCACCAGAAAATAAGGACTGAACACCCTCATAGATCAGCCATGGACCAAAAGCTATAATTTGAATTTGAGAAAACTCATACTGAGCAAATAATTTTTCTTTGGACCCCATAAAAGCAATTAAAGTCCCCCTTTCACTAGGGAAAAAAAAGATTCCAGAACCTCATTGACCAGAAATGGACCCAAAGCTATATCATTTGAGAAAACACAAAAACACAAACTATTTGGAAAATTATTTTGCTATGGAAGTCTGGCATGTTTAAAAGTAAAAAGACCATGGACCCATTATCCTGTAGATCTGATATCTCTTTACTTTTTGAATTTTCTGATTAGAAAAAAAAAAAAAACAATACAAGGTGGCTATAGGATTGTTCAGTAAATATAATCATGCACCCAACTGGTGAAAAGGTGTCATCTGCACATGGTGAAGCAAAATTTCTGGTTTCACTGCTTTAGAAAAAAAAAAAATTATTTAAAACCAGTAAGAAAGCTGTTCTTCGTACGCATGAGAAAGCCATCGGAACCATTCTTGATTGAGCGGAGAAAGCACAGCAGAAATGAATATGCAGGAATGCCGATGTTAATTATCTTGTTTTTGGACAGTTGCCATTCCTCCAAATCCTGTAACCCAATGGCTCCATCTCTGATTAGCTCTTTCCCAACATTCTCACACGCCTCAAAGAAGTTATTCCATATCTGTTACAAACATTGAAAGGCCAAGAATTAAATTGCATGGTCAGACTGTAATACTTGTCGAATGAAATAATGCTCTTGTTTGACAAGGGATTTGTGAAAGCTTAGGCACAAGCGCACACACACACAGTTGTTAGAATGCTTACCACTACAGCCTTAAGTGTCTTCACTTTCATTGAAGCTGTCCTTAATGGAGATTTTTTGGCACGAAGAGCCTCGGTCTTTTCTGGCAATCGCCTTAGAGGAAGTAATGGTAGAGTTGGAGAAACTCCCTTGCGATATCTAGGTCTGGCTGCCCAAATGTGCAGACGCTATGATAGAGTACATTGATTGAAGGGATATACCCACAGTCTTAACTTCAACAATTAAAGTGTAATTTCACAGGTCAAAGTGGCTGTTGGAGATTGTTTGGTTAGAACCCATGAGTCAGAATAATCCATGGGTCTCAAAGGAACCATTCGACCTAAAAGCTTAAGCTGTTAGGCGAAGTCCCTAATAGGGAATAGTTTTTTTTTTTTATTCTCTAACAATGGGGAACTTCTCACTCACATTTGGTACGTACCTTGGAAAGCAGGATCCTTCTCGGAGGTAAAGAAAATCATTGGTGTACTCATCAAACAAAGATACTACGGCAATGGCATAGAGTATTCCTTTCTTTATAGAATTTTCCTAACAATAAAATAAACAAATACATTGTCGGCTAATCAATAAGCAAAAAATAACCATATAAATTTAATTCATTTCCAAACAAGAAAAGAAAAAAAAGCATGTACAACACCGGCCGGCCAAATCATCGATCATCTGCTAAAGAAGAAGCTAAGCGTCAGAAGATTAAAATTGTACCTGATATGCAACAACAGCAGCATAAAAGCCAAGAAAGAAGCTTGAACTAATTCCAGCCAAGAAGGTGAGACCAACAGCAACAGGCCACAAAATAATCGAAAGCCCGTCAAAGGGGACCCAAGCAGTTTTCAGGAAGGGATCTGCTCTTCCAAAGAGATCTCGGACCAATCGCCTCCATCCTTTGAATAGCATGACGGGAGCTTTATATAACACAATAAAACTTGTGACCGGAAAATCTATCAACACCCCCAAAATTCCGGCCAACGTGCATCCTGGTATCTGAGAAACCCTACGTACACGTAGGGTACAAGTAATTAATCCCATGCAAGAGCCTCCAAACCAAACATTTCTTAATTACCAGAAATTATATGTGGAAGCAAATACATATACATAGAAAATAAAATGTGTTAATTAACAAATAATGAAATGAATATATACACTTCAACATCATGTAAATGCGTTGTTTGAAGTTTTGGGCTTAAAAAGTTGAAGGAAAGTTCTATCTTACAATTCCATCAATGAAGTTTCAAGAGAGGCAAATATTGATGCTTAAAGAACAATATTTTGGTATTCAGTCTCTTCATGTAGGTTAATGGTCATGATTGTAGTCCGGATCTGCTGACCATGACACATTGCTATTGCTGGCCACATGCATCTAGTCATACATCAGGAATATCGGTGTTTTAAGGTACAACCAATATTCCTAATGTGTGGCAGGATGCGTGTAGCCAGAAATGTGTCATGGTCAGCAGATCCAAACTCATTTATGATTAATTTTTGTTATTATGTGTTTTGAGAGACCAAATCAGCCCCCCACAATGCCCTACAACACACCCCTGCCGTGTATTGGAAACATCTCCCGATGATGATTGTGGGTAGCTGATTTGAACTAATTTTTTGAACTGTGTAATGGGTTGGGATGATGAGAGGGTGAAGTTGTTTGTTTTGTTGTTGGGTTCTACCTCCTTCCCTGATTTGATTTACTTCCCTTTTGATAATGGTTAATGAATATTTTAGATGGCTGCCCCTCCATCTTGAGTAAATAACTTGGGGGGTATTTAAGGATATTAATTGGGGGAAAATAGTTTTTTACACCCCACCCATAATAACATGTTATGCCCAATAATGTTTCCAACAGCCAAAGATTTTGAAAAAGGAGAAAATTGGAATTAATTTATTGCTCACCCTTAAGATTAATCTCATTAGAACTCCCAAGTTAAACATACTTGAACACTTAGAATGGGTGACCTTAAAAATTCCTCATGTTACACCCTAACTTCTAATCAAGCTACAGACCGAGTAGCAAATCTCAGTCATCAAAGAGATGTGACTTTAACCATAGGTTTCCATGGGCCCTACCCTATATTTGTGCTATATGGGCATATGGGGTAGGCCAAAACAAATGTCTCTATGCAGCAAAGAACAAGTTTTCACAGATTGATCCATTCTTCTATATGCAGCAAAGGAACCAATGAGATTTTGCAGATCATTGAAATTGCAAAAGAAACTGGATGAGAGAAAAAAAAAAAAAATTAAACACTAAGAAGATACACAATGAACACAACAGATTGTTGCAAGATATTAGAAATTAAATCATGTTTGATAAACATTACTTGATTTCTATAGGCTCCGTAGTTTTCTGCTCCAGCAATCCATCCATGACCGAGAAGTAGGAATAAAAGCAAAAATCCCAAAAGTCACGGACAATGGTGCATCCAACCAAAATAGAGCTCCAAGTACCATCCTGCAGATGGAGGTGGTTGCAGAGAAATAAATCCTTCACTCAGCTCTTCAATATATATAAATAAATAAACAGACACAAAGTAATATAAAGTCGGAAGTATATACCGTGAAGCATCTGATGAATTTGTTTGGAACACCCTCAACTATCACTTCAAATGTCGCCATTAAAGGCCAAAAGAAGCCATACCCTAAACCCGTAAAGATGCTCCCAATTACTCCCACCAATGGCCATACTAGTAGTAATGGAATGGGCAGGGTTTGAAACAAGAACCCTTTCATGAATCCACCGAAATTTTTACTTCTGTCACAGTTTTATAATAAAGAGAAGAAAGAAATCATTCATCATTGAAGATTATTTATCTTCATGCCACCATTGAAAAGGATTTCTTGAAAAGAAGGAAAATTATTACTTCGCAACACAGTAGTAGGTCCAGACCACATGAAATGGCCATAACCCGACGATAACCGCTAAATTCCCCAAACTTATCACAAGAAAGACAATTGGTCCAATTAGAATCGCTGCAATCGATGGCTTCATTACGTCAGAAGGAGAAAATACAGTAAGAAGAAGAAGAAGAAGAAGAAGAAGAAGAAGAACCTTTAATGATTCCGAGAACTAAAAGAAGCATAAAAACAGGAAAGAAGACGAGCGCATGCAGTTCCATTTTCAGAAATTTCTCTTTCTGTGCATATCAATTTTGAATTAACTGCATGCACATCATTCAAAATGAGTGGGTTTTATTTCACTCAGAAGTGCAGAATAGTACTTCAGAAAACCTAAAGAAATTAAGATTAGACAAAATAGTAGTTTGAATACCTGAACTGAAGGTGAAACATCAGTCGTTCGTTTGCCCGAGCTCCGGAACGCAGAAAGAGTTGCTCACAATCTTATAACAAGTAACAGTGAAGCGTGAAAATTACGGATGGAATACGTAAATCTAGTATTATATTCTTCCTTTCATGTGTTGTTTAATATATTTCTTTCTGCTTTTAGTCAGGCCGGTGCACCGTCTCCACACAAGTGGCAAAACGTACGACGACGACGACGACGACGACGCTCATCACTTTTAGCTAGATCAACACTTCTTAATTCATGCCTTTAATTTCTCCTTATCTATTAATCTAGTCCGAACTCTGAAGAAGAAGCCATACATGGTAAAACTATAGCTATGTTACTACTGTAAATGAGGTTCGCTTCCAATTTTTTGATACGGTGGAAGGAGAGAGTAGAACGCCATGAAAATAGTCTCTGCCAGCTTTTTACGGTTTCGATCGAGCGTGGAAGAAATATCACTGACACGCTTGACGGTGGGTTTCGTAACTTTCTCTAGGGGTTATTTCTGGTCTGAACGGGATTCAAGACTTCTTCAAAGTTCTAACAGTCAGTGCTTTGGTTACATCTAGACCTGCTTTTGGGGCCACTGTTGGGATGGATGCTTGGAACACTGAAGAAGGCTTCCCACTCTTTAATTTTGGGATAAGATGCCTCTGGACTTTATTTATAATAATAGTGAGCAATCCTTATTTGTTTGTTAATTGTTGTGGAATTGGGATCTCCTCTCTGTGTTTGAACAATTAAGTGCCGTTTGGAAGGGCTATTGGAGAACAGGTTTTGAGCTACTCTGAAGAATAGCTTCTTCAGAACACCGGTGCTCAAGCACCTCAGCTCAATTAACACGATGCACCCTAAACAGAGAAGCCCTATCAAACGAATCCGAATCTGCTCCTCATAGAACGTGATGGACACTCTGTGAGGAGCAAATCTAAATTTCTCCCAAACAGACTCTAAATTCACCAAGTGTCAAAGATAGACGCTTGCTCGAGAATGATGACTTAACCTAGACGCTTTGCACCAAAAAATTACTTTACCGTACAATACAAAAGCAAGGAATCACAACACCACTAAGAGCGGGTAATAAAGATAAAGACTAAGAATAATTGTACTGATTAAAAGAAGCAATCAAAGATTCAAAGTTTATATTTTATGATTAGGAGGGATTCTGATGGGGCCATACCGACAGAAACCATGTTGCTCATGTAATTATGCATGTATGATTGCATGTCCTCTATTCGTTTACGTTTATTGAATAAACATTATATATTTATGTGGTTGTAAAATCGAGAAAAGCAATTTATGTGGGCGTTTATGACATATAAACGCCATTAAGTACCACATCAGTAAAGTGCCAATAAACGTTTACTCGTTTCAGGAAGCTCCAAAATGAAACTTCCTGAAATGGGAGAGGTGCATAGAAATCAATATTTGCTTTTGCAAATATCGATACGTATGGATACAATTAGTGAGGCCTTTGCTGACGGGGCACCTATGTGGCAACGTTTACTCAATAAACATAAACTGGACCAAACACATATATAGGCGTGGGCGTTTATTGCATATGAAACTAATTTTTAGTTTCACCATTCATTAAATAAACACTAAGAAACTTAAATGCTTTGACTTTTGTCCATGGGGCATTTGGGGAAAGCAAAGAATGCTTCAAGTAATGTAGTTATGCATGCTAACTCACGAGCACTCATAATTTCAGCTAAATTAATAGTCTCATCTCTGATAAATAAGAATAGTTTAATCTCCAAAAATTATTGAAATTTAATAGCAAAAAATACACAATTTTTGAAAATATATTGATAATGAAAAAATATAATAGTTACAATAATTATAAAAAACAAATTATGTTCTAAAAATAAAATAACTTAGTCAATAAATAGTATAATCGCAAATAATAGTTTAATCTCTAATAAAAATTAATCAATAAGTTATAACAAAAATATAATAAATACAATAAGTACAATAAATTAAATTTAAAAATTTCAATAGTAGTAGTTTAATCTCCAATAAATATTAAATTTTTTCTCTTAAATAGGAAAACAAAATAAATTTATACATGATTACTGAAAATATATTAATCACAAAAAAAATAAATAATTACTGAAATACAATAAATATTAATTTTAGTATATATAATTATATAATAAATACAGATTAAGAGTTTAAAATTATTATAAATAAATATTATTTTTTGAAAGTTATTTTCTTGAATTATTACTTGATATAATTGAAATTATTTATTTACAATATTATGTCAAAATATTAAATTATTATTAATTTCAGTAATATGATATAATTATTTTTCTAATTTTTAGGATATTTTTAAATTTATTAAATAATTTCTTTATTTTAACTATTTAAAATCTAGTTATGTTAAATATTTTGTTATTTAAAATATTTATTTATTTAAATACTTAAATAATATATAAAATATATAAAATATTTAAATTTTAAAATATGAATTATATATTGAATTTAATTATCCATAAAATCATAACTTATACTATTATTACATAATTCCATTATTGATTTTGTAATATATTAAATTATTATTAATTTCAATATTATGTTATAAATATTTTTCTACTTTGAAGAAATTTTTTAAATTTATTACATGATTTCATTATTTTAACTATTTAAAATCTAGTTATGATAAATATTTAGTTATTTAAAGAGTTAAATAATCTATAAAATATTTAAAACCTTTTGTTATTTGAATTTTATTTATTTAAAGCTATTACATATTATTAAATATTTAAAAAACATTTAAACTGATAGTTTGGAAAAACATAATTTAAATTGTTAGTACATAATTTCGTGATATATTTTGTAAAAATATAAAATTATTTTTTATGTGTTTTTAATAAATATTTTAAAGTTATTATATAATTTTGTTAGAATATTTAAATCATTCTTAAATTTTTTAATCTAAACTTTCTTTGGAGATGATTTAGGAGAGAAACTCTCTACTAAATTATAGATAACTTGGGAGATAAATAGGAATTGAAGATAATTTATAAGATAAATAGGAATTAGAGATAATTTTGGAGAAAGTAGGGGATAGTGGGGGCAGTTTAGGAGAGATTTTAGGAGAAGAGATTATTTAGGTTATTCGGAAAGTGCATCTCATTTTAGGAGAAGAGATTGTTTAGAGATTATTTATTACTGAAATATAATAAATATTAATTTTAGTATATATAATTATATAATAAATACAGATTAAGAGTTTAAAATTATCATAAATAAATATTATTTTTTGAAAGTTATTTTCTCGAATTATAACTTGAGATAATTAAAATTAGTTATTTATAATATGATGTAAAAATATTAAATTATTATTAATTTCAATATTATATTATAATTATTTTTCTAACTTTTAGGATTTTATTTTAAATTTATTACATAATTTCTTTATTTTAAGTAATTAAAATCTAGTTATGTTAAATATTTTTTTATTTGAAATATTTATTTATTTAATACTTAAATAATATGTAATATATTTAAAGTTTAAAGTATTAATTATTTATTGAATTTAATTATCCATAAAATCATAATTTATACTATTATTACATAATTTCATTATTAATTTTGTAATATATTGAATTATTATTAATTTCAATATTATGCTATAATTATTTTTCTACTTTGAAGATTTTTTTTAATTTATTATATAATTTCATTATTTTGACTATTTAAAATCTAGTTATGATAAATATTTAAATAATCTATAAAATATTTAATTTTTTTCTTATTTGAATTTTATTTATTTAAAGTTATTATATATTATTAAATATTTGAAAAACATTTAAATTGATAATCCAGAAAAATATAATTTAAATTGTTAGTACATAATTTCGTGATATATTTTGTAAAAATATAAAATTATTTTTTACGTTTTTAACAAATATTTTAAAGTTATTATGTAATTTTGTTAGAATATTTAAATAATTCTTAAATTTTTTAATCCAAACTTTCTTTAGATAGATATAGATAAAAAGTAGGGGAGAGGATAAATAGGAATTAGAGATAATTTAGGAGAGAAACACTCTACTAAATTAGAGATAGTTTTGGAGATAAATAGGAATTATGTATTAAATTAGAGATAATTTTAAAATTTAAATTTAATTTTCAATTTTAAATCTTTTGAACCAACTGACCAAACCAAAAAATCGACCCAAATTGATACAACTTGAGTGGGTCGGTTTGAATTGACTAGGTCAATTTGGTTGGCAAAACAACCTACAACCGAACCGAACCATGGACACTCATAATTAAATTAATTGTCTCATCTTTGATAAATAACAATATTTAAATCTCCAATAATTGTTGAAAATTTATAGCAAAAATACACATATATTGAAAAATATATTGATAATGAAAAAAATACAATAATTGCAAAAATACAATAAGTACTAAAAATATATTAAATTAGTCAATAAATAGTATAATCTATAATAACTATTAATCAATAAGTTATATAAAAAATACAATAAATACAATAAGTACAATAAACAGAATTTAAAAATTTCAATAATAGTAGTTTAATCTCCAATAATTATTGAAAGTTTTTTGATAAATAACAAAACAAAAATAAATTTATACATAATTACATTGAAAGTACATTTATCATGAAAAACAAAAAATAATTACTAAAATACAATAAATTTTAATTTTAGAATATATAATTATATAATAAATTTATATTAATAGTTTAAAATTATTATTAATAAATATTAATTTTTATGAAATTTATTTTCTCAAATTATTAATTGATATTAGTGAAATTAGTTACTTACAATATTATGTAAAAATATTAAATTATTAATTTTGTAAAATATTAAATTATTATTATTTTCAATATTATGTTATGATTATTTTTCTACTTTTCATATTGTTTTAAATTTATTACATAACTTCTTTACTTTAAAAAATTTAAAATCTAGTTATGTTAAATATTTTGTTATTTAAAATATTTAGTTACTTAACTACTAAAATAATATGTAAAATATTTATTAATTATTTAATTTAATAATCCACATAATTATAATTTAGACTATTATTACATAATTTTATTATTAATTTTGTAAGATATTGAATTATTATTAATTTCAATATTATGGTATAATTATTTTTCTACTTTTACGAATTTTTTAAATTTATTACGTAATTTCGTTATTTTAACTATTTAAAATCTAGTTATGTTAAACATTTAAATATTTAAATAATATGTAAAATTCATAAATTTTTTAATTATTTACTGAATTTAATTATCCATTAAATTATAATTTATACTATTAATACATAATTTTATTGTTAATTTCGTAAGATATTAAATTATTATTAGTTGTAATATTATGTTTTTATTATTTTCTACTTTTATGAAATGTTTGAAATTAATTACATATTTTCGTTATTTTAACTATTTAAAATCTAGTTATGTTAAATATTTAAATAATATGTAAAATATTTAAATTTCTTTATTATTTGAATTTTATTTATTTAAAGCTATTAC